TTGTACGTAGGAGTTTACAGTGTTATCACAAGGAGTTAAAGGGGACCCAAAGCCCATGGGAGCCAGCATGCTCCAATGGGCCAGTTTCCTGCAGCAGATGGGACGGGTACTTTTAGGCCATGGGGTCATCACCTTCTGTGACTGCATGGAGGTCTTGCAGCTTACTGGAGACCCACAGGAGAAGCGTGAGAAAATTTGCCAGGGTCTGACTGCCAAGTGGTAATTCTGAGCAGACTTTCTGAGCTAACCCTCCTCCCTCGGTCGCTCTGGCCCCTGCCCTGCCTAGTGGCTTTTCCAGATGCCCTGATCCTTGAAGAAATAGTCCACCTCTAGAACCACCAGCGTTGGAGCCCTCAGTCTGCTGAGCCCTGCCCTGGGCCTGGCCGCTAGAGAAGGCCAGCGTGCCCTGGGATGTGCGTAAGTTGCTGTCTTTGGACCCTGGTTCCCCTGATCAAAGGTGAGTAGCGTAAGAGGAAAAGAAGAGCACAGAAGATGGGCCCCCGAGCTGCGGCCCCGAGCTGCGGCCCCAAGGAGCAGCCATTGAGGAGAAGGAGGTGTGAGCCCAGCCAGCAGGGAGGAACCCAGGCCAGTGGAGCCTGGGCTCTGCCCTGGAGGGTGCATTCGGCTAGGGGTGGCCCAGGAGGGTGGGGCGAGGGCTCAGGGGCCAACAGCCTCTGTGAGGAGGGCCTCACCCCTCGTGAGTTGCCTGCATCAGCGCTGGCTCTGCCCAGCCCACACCCGCTCCCTCGAGCTCCAAGTGTAGTCGTGGTACTATTCACAAGCTGACTTCTGTTTTCTTTTCAGAGCCAAAAAAGTCATCAAGCTGTCAAAGAGACTTTTCCAACATTCGGGCTGGGTGGAGGTGCTCGGAGGTGCTCATTTCTTTGCACCATGGGGAAATGGTCAAACACAGGGTTTTAATTCATCCTTGGGGTGGAAAAATGGGGTCCTCCCTCAGGGTTGGAAAAGAGCCCTAGATCTCCAAGCAGGGAACAGGCCGCCGCCCACAGCCCCCTGCCTCATCTCCCCTAAAGAAGAGGAGAGCTTTGAATCAGAGCCACTCATGTGTCATGGTACCTTGGGCACCTGTGTGTGAGGGAGGGGTGGGGGGCAGGGGACAGCCGGGATGCCACCAGCAAGAAGACTTAGCATTGATTCAGTGCTCACTGCCTTCCTACTGTGTGAAGTCTGTTGCACCTTTACATCAACCATCGCATTTCATCCTTACCACACAAGGAAGGTATTGCCATCTTCCCATTTTATGGAGGAGGAAACCGAGGCTCAGAGGTCCTACAGCGGTAAGCCGCAGAGCTGGGATGTGGACTCCGGTCTGACTTCAGAGTCTGAGCCCTTGGCCATGGAACCAGGATGCTCACAGTGGCGTCTGGAAACCACCTGCCTGGGGAACTCCCAGGATGCTGGGTCAAAATGCGGTGTCTGGAGTCCTGCCGGGGTTTGCTGAATCAGAACCTCAGGGAATGGGGCTGGAAGCTAGGACTCAGATGACCTTCCAGTCAGGTGGACTGCAAAGTCTGAGGTCCCCCGTGTGCTGAGCTCCACTGTCCACTAAGTGTGAGGTAAGAAGGTCCCAGGCGCAGAGGGTCCTCCTTGACACACGCTCGGCACACGGTTTGGAGTTACTTCAGTGACAGGGGCATCCCTCAGAGAGCTCCCCCGGCCCCTGGTGGTTGTCCTCCCATCCCATCTGTGTTAGCTGGGGCCTGGCCAGTTAGCTCTTAGCCCCAGGCCTGAATTCTCCAGGTCCGCAGGAGGCCTGGGGGGTGCTTCTATTACGTTAGCCCGAGTTCTTGCCAGGACTGTGGCCCCCTCCTCCCGAGGATAATTCAGCTTTTGACCCCCCTAATCCGCCCATTCTGAGAAGCTGCCCCCAGAAGCCTCCTCTCCCTCCTTCCTGCGAACCTGCTCTCCACCGGCCTGTGCTCTCTGCCCCACTCTTCCGAGCAGGTCATCAGCCCAGGATGATCTTCACTGGAGTGACAGCGACTGGAGTCAGGGACAGTGATGTCCTGGTGGGGTTGTCAGGTGGCCCCGCTGTCTTCTGAGGCATGGTGAAAGGTAGGGAGGAGAGGTGCGTGGCAAAAGCCGAGTGACACACGACAAGCCAGGCAGGCCTTCCCAACTCACCGAGGCGGCAGCAAGAGACCTTGGGGACACGCTGATGCAGAACGATCCCTCCTGGCCTGGAAATGCCAGCAGGTAGGGCAGGGAGAGCCTGCTAATAGCCGGGGCCCATATGCGCCCCCCACAGACTCCATAACCTGCTCCTGCCCCCCGACGTCACCTTGGGAAATGTGTGGGACCCACTTCCTCTAAGCCCTCGTGACCCAGCTGGTCTTCACAGCTCTCTGGATGTTATTTTTAACCTGACTTCACCTGGGTGGGGTGGGGACCAGATCTGCCTGGACAATTCCACTCACCAGGCTGGTCCCAGGCAGAGGAGGAAGGTGACAAACTCCGCTTTCTGGCACTTCAAAGAACCTCTCCCCTGGAAGCGAACGCCATGCAACCCATCTGCAAACTGACCTGCCTCACCTGCCCGGCCAGGCTGGGTCTCGGGACGGCTACTGGCCGCCCATCGGGTTGGTATGTCCAGGCCAGGGGGGCGGGCAGCCCGAGAGGCTGTAGAGTTGCCAGAGACGGAGGCTTCTGAGCAGGCCAGCAGCAGCCCAGGTCTCTCTCCTTCCACCAGTTGAGCCTCCTCCTCGTCCTCCCACCATGCCACATCGTCCACACGTCCTCCGGGAGAAGGGCAACGCAGACGCACAGGCACTCCGTCTGTTTGGCCATGGCTGGTCCAGACAGCAAGTCCTGTTCCTTCTCCATCTGGCTCTGTCGCTGAACTTTCTGCTGAGCTCCTTCCAACCCTGTCGGCAGCCCTCCTGCCAGGAGGAGCCAGTGCCAGGGAGAACAGAGTAATTGCCTCTCGTGTGTGCATGCAGAGCCTTCATTAACACATCCCCAGAGTGGCATTTGCAGCCCTCTGTCACAGCACCCCCCGTTGAGTAGCACGCGATTCATCACCCCCAGATTCTCCGCTGTCTTGAAGGAACCAATTAGTCCTGTGTTTCTGCCTGTTTCTTTGGCTCATGTCGTTGGTGTCGTTGTTCCTTAATGAGAGAAGGTTTCTCTGGGGGCTTGCCCACTCAATGGCGCACAGAAGGGACCTGGCCCAGTCATTCTCCGTTTTTCTTTTGTGGCACCAGGAAGCAATGCTTGCATTCCAGAGGACGTGGAAGGAAGAGTATGGGGTGGAGGGGGCAGGAGACTTGGGTTTTAGTAATGGCTCAGCCAATGGTTAGGTGTGTGATCTTGAGCAAAACATTTCTAAACGTTACTTTCTTCACTTACAAAATAAGGCGGCATTGACAAGCTCATGGAATCTTAGAGCTCATCTAGTTTACCTGTCACTTTACAGATAGGTAAACTGAGGCGCGGGGTGGCCATTCAGCTCACCCATACTCATGTGGGCTAAGTGGTGTTAAGACTTGAGACCTCAGTTCCGGCCTTCTGTCTCCTAAACTGGGCCGGGGGGGGGGGGATTGGATGAAAATAAGAAGCATGTCAGGAGAGCAAAGACACAGTAAAGGGACTCCGTGCTTTGTACATGTAGGAAGCTCCGGAAGGATGACTTCTCCCTCACATCAAAGGTTCCAGTGCTGAAAGGAACGGTTCTCACCCAGGGGCCATTTTCGCCTTAGGGGACCTTTGGCAAATTTCTGGAGACATTTTTGGTTGTTCCAGTGGGGGAGGGGAGGGTGGGGAGACATCTAGTGGGTAGAGTCCAGGAGGTTCCAAGCACAGGACAGGGAATGATCTGGCCCAAAATGTCAACAGTGCTAAGGTTGAGACCCCAGCTGGACACCAGTCCTTTCTCTACTGCCACCTGTCCTGGAGTTTTAAAAATTCTCATTTCCTTGTCTTCAGCTTCAAAGGAACTATCTTTCCCTGATTTTGCTATTGATGCTGATTTTATTATTATTTATTATTTTTAAAGATTTACTTATTTATTTGACAGAGAGAGACACAGCGAGAGAGGGAACACAAGCAGGGGGAGTGGGAGAGGGAGAAGCAGGCTTCCCGCGGAGCAGAGAGCCCGATGCAGGGCTCGATCCCAGGACCCCGGGATCACGACCTGAGCCGAAGGCAGACGCTTAACGACTGAGCCACCCAGGCGCCCCTTGATGCCGATTTAAAAAATAATTACTTTCTTGCATATAAAAATCATCCATGCTCCTTTTAGAGAATTTAGAGTATTTAGAAAGGTACAAGAAAAATAAAAATCAGTCCCACCACACAGAGGTCCCTAGTAAGAATATTTTGATATTTGGTATTTTTTCTACATTACCTGAGATTCACTGAGCACACTCTGCTTTCTCCTATCTCATGGCTTTTCTCAGCAATCCTCTCTGCCCTCTCTCCGACCCCCACTGTTGAAATCATATCTGTCATCTAGGTCGCTTCCAATAGCACCTCCTCCAGGAAGCACCGCAGGTCACATATGACCCCACCGAAGCCGGAAGTGGATTCTCCTGTCTCTCTGTATCTCACAAATGCCAAATTTGACATGCTGGGTTTTTGCTTTTGTTTTTGTTTTGGTATTTCAGTTCTCCGTAAATGCCTTGAGGATGGGGATTAAATTGTAGTGTACTGAATGTGTGCTCCCTCCTCTTCTGGCGAGTGCACGCGCACACACACACACCCACACACACACACAGTGGGTGTAAGTACAACACCTAAGATGGATCTGTCCTCTTTCCTCTCCTGACATCACCGTCCTCTGACTTCCAGACTAAATAACCATCCTTTAGTTCTTAGTCACACAGAACATTTCAATCAGTGGTTTTTGTTGCTCCATCATTTGGGATTATTCTGGAACTCTTTTTCCAACTGCATGGATCTCGGAGACATTTAGTATTATAATAAAAATCAAAAGCTTTTTTTTTAATTTTAATTATTTATTTATTTATTTGAGAGAGAGAGAGAGAGAGAGAGAAACAGCATGAGAGGGGAGAGGGTCAGAGGGAGAAGCAGGCTCCCCGCTGAGCAGGAAGCCCGATGTGGGACTTGATCCCGGGACTCCGGGATCATGACCTGAGCCGAAGGCAGTCGCTTAACCAACTGAGCCACCCAGGCGCCCCAAATCAAAAGCTTTAACTGAAAGACTCGCTACTGTGTTCAGGCATTGGGATAGATGCTTGTGTTAACATTCTGATTCAACCTAAACTACCTACAAATGTGAAAGCCGAAGGCAGCAGGGCATTACAGTTCTGCCCCAGGTCACCTGGCAGACCAGAGGAGGCACTGGGATTTAACCCAGAGCCACCTGGCTCCACAGCTAGGGGCCCCTCCTTGAAGTTTCTCAAGTGCTGTGCAATAGGCCTGCTCCTGCCCACCTGTTTTCACAGGAAGAGGCAGCAAGCGGGGGCATCAGTGCCTCTGGTCTGGGTGGCTCCACGCAAGGCATCTCCCTAAAGGGAAGTCACAGAGCCCAACCCAGCTCCTTGGCCGTGGGAACCTCTGGCTGGTGGCAGGGTGACCTGCTGGGGGAGCCTGGTGGACGGCTCGAGTGCAATCCAAGGTCCCGGGAGGCTGAGCCTTCCTGGGCTGGCGGCATCCGGAAGGCTAGCCTCTTGCTCTGGTATTTCCTGATGCCTCGTGCGAAGTGTCTTACACAGGAGGCTAGCAGGGCTTCCCCTGCCGACACCTGTCTGCTGGGAGGGCTGGTGTCCCCCTTCTTTTTGTCAGGGGGCTGATCCGCTGGTCTGAGCAGGGGAGGTCTGGGGCTGGGCCCTACCAGAGGAGGGCACACTCTCCTTCCCTCGCCATGCCCTCCTTCCCGGACAGGTGCAGCCCCCCTCTCCAGGTTCGAGAGTTGTTGCTGCTACTTCTGAGGAGTTCTTCCCTTTCGTGGTCTGGCAGACCAAGTACAGGATTAGCTTTGTCTCAAGCCCAGTTGTGCCAACAAAGTGATCTTGGGCAAGTCACTGGCTTTCTTGGAGCCTCAGTCCCTCCATCTATAAAATGGAAAGAATGACGCCGAACCTCAGAGGGCTGGGATGAGGATTCAGTGGGTGACGAAGAGACACTGATGTGTTGTAGGTGCTCAAAAATCTCTCTCTTCCTTGCTGCTAGACAGCGGAGGACGGTGGGAGGGCGGTTGGAAAACCCGTGGGGAAGGAAAGCGGGCTGGGACGGGGAGGCGGCAGGGGCAGGCAAGGAGTGGCCCAGGGCCTGCTATTTGTTTTTCCACCTGGAGCCCTGGTGGAAGGGAATCCCTCTGCTGGTTGCCGGTGGCCTTACTCAAATCATCATTGGCGCGGACGAAACCGGCCGTTCGGAACCTCTACGTGGGCTCAGAATCAGCCTCACTCCATTTCCACGAGGCCGTTGAGCACAGTGGTTAGAAGAACAATCTCCAGGCTGCCTGGCCCACGGGCTCTGCCACTCTGTGACCTCAGGCAAGTTGCTAAATTTTAGAGCTTCAGTTTTCGTATCTGTAAAATGGGACGTTAATACCTGATTGGGTTGCCTGGGATGATTAAATTAGATCCTGCGTGGGCTGTGCCGGGCTGAGCCTTGTATGTGCTTTAATCGGCTAGCTACTAGTGTTCGTTTTGGGTGTTGTGATCACTCCCAGCCACACACTGTGCCCATATCCTGGGCAGCCTGAGTTGGAGACATGCTCACTGGGAGAGTGTGGCTGGTTCACACACCCGGCAAGCCGCCTCATCCGCTGGTTGACGATGGGTGAGCCACTGGGTCAGCCTCACGGCTGAGGACTGGCAGCCCAGGTGTCAGCAGAGGCCGCATTCCAGCGACATTCCTCCTTGGCAGAAACTTCAAAACCAGAGGAAGATATTACTCAGACAGATTCGGAAGTCATTCCAGGATGTCAAACGCAAGGCTTATGATGCAGACAAGCTGATGATAATATGGAGTGCTCTGCACGAGAGGGCTGGACTGTCGCCTGGCTGCCAGAGGCAGAGGGCGTGGGGTGGGGGGCTTGGGTCCAGGATGGAGGCTGACCGTGAGTGACCCCACTCCATCCCAGGCCTTCTTGCACAAAGCCCCTAAAGACAGAATTCGGATTCCTGCCAGCAAGAATAGGCCTCCTAAAGCTGTGGCTTCTTCCTCCTCCCCCTCCCTCTTATGAGGAAGTCCCCTGGGGTGGGGGTGGGGGCTCAGCTGACTGACTAGTGTTCTCTCCTGGAGCCTCCATGTTGTGATGGGCACGTGGCCAGAGGCTGGGTCCTTCAGTTGGGGGCTTTCAGTGGCCCCTGTTGTGGACCTGACCCCTGGCTAGGTTTACTGTCCCTGGCTGGAAAAGACCCTAGGGAGCTCACAGTGCAAGGGGAGGGGGACAGCCTGTAAACACAGCACACAAAGGCCATGAGTTGGCAGAACAGCATCATGCTGCTGAGAACAGAGCCCCCCAGAGCAGGTGGGAAGTGGTGGCCGGGGTGCAGGCCAGAGACCCAGCTCAGCGGTAGGTCTGGGCACGAAAGAGGGGAGCCACATGCCCCTGTAGCTGCTGCAGGCGGTGGTGAAGGGTAGCTGGCCAGGCCCGGAGGGGAAGCCAGCACAGCCAGAGGAAGAGGAAGAGGAAGAGGAAGGGGCTCAGAGACAAAGGAAAGAGGAAGGGGGATGAATACGCCCTGAGCGCTTTAGCCAGGCCCTGGGCTAAGGAGTGTTCCTTTAATCCTGCAAACATCTCTCCGGCGTGGGTGTTAGAGTCCCCCCCAAACAGGAAGGTGAGGCCCAGAGAGCATCTGTGACTCGCCCCGGTTCTTAGGCTGCAGGTCTCCAACTGTCACCCCGGGCCCTGCTGTCTGCCTATCTTCAGGCCACCAGACTTGTGGAGGAGAGCCGCGTGCTTTGCAGAGTAGGGCAGCCTTGCAGAACCTCCCCTGCCGGGTGAGATGATGCAGGCCAATGCTGCCTCACATGACTTGTCGATATTTTCATTTATTTGCTTATTCTAACTCAGCCAAGAACTTCAAAGGAGCATCATTCCTGGAGGATTTGTTCATCGATGTGTCACAGTCTAGCTACTGAGCCCATGGGCAGGAAGGAAATAGGCGGGTTCAGAGACCCAAACATCTATCCCCTATGTGTCTTGTAACGTTGGGGAGCCAAGACTCCTGCAGCGGAGACTTCTGCAGGAGGAGGTTGCTGCTGGGTGCTGGCCCTCCACCTGTGCCTGCCCGGGTGCACCCCCCAAAACATGGAAGTCGCTGTCCCTGTGAGGATGAAGATCCAGGGGTGCAGAGCGAGGGCTATTGCTGGGCAAGCTGAGGGTGGAGTTAGCCCGGTGACCTACTGGCCTGGCTCACGCAGCCTGCCCGGGGGGGGGGGTGCTGATCTGAGGTTTGCACAGGTCTCAGGGGCGCATGCGCTCACGCTCCAGTCCCCAGAGCAGCGCTTGTGCCTCTCCTCCAGGTCTCCACTGGTTTGAAGCCCAGTTCCGTTCCGGGGTGGCTTTTTCCCTCCTTCTTGTCCCCCTTTCCTTTAGAGCTCGGGGGGTTGGGGTGGGAGAGCAAAGGTGGAGATGCGCTGTTTTGCACGAGAGACTTGCCTGCACGTCATCCCAGCACCGGGTTCCGTTCACAGAGGAAGTGAGAGGTGTCCGATTCGGTCATGCAGAACACAGCTGGGCTGCTGGAAACGAAACACGGTGGCTGCTCTGAAGGAGGTGTTGTCCCTGGGCTGCTACAGGGTTGAGTCACAGCAGACGCCACTCCCACGCCCGAAATACCGGGCCATTGTCCCAGGGAGGTGGGCCCCTCACTCAGGTCATTTCCGACCCACTCCCCGGAATCCCATTAAGGGAAAGGCAAGCCGAGGAAAAGCCCAGAAACCAGGATGGCTCAGCAGGCCAAGAGCGGGGGGAGTCGGCCCGCCAGAGCGGCGCCTGCTGCGGGACCCCGCGCCCGCCGGGCCGTCCCACAGCCTTGGTGCACATCGGGACCCAGGAGCCAAGCTCGGTTGTGCGGCATCCAGAGTTAGAATTGGGGGGCATGCCTCAATAAAAGGAACACAAAATTCTGAAAACAAAGTTAAGGACAAAGTGAGGATTTATTTAGATGCGGGGGCGGGGACCACGGTAAATTGCTGACCCCGCCCAGATTCAGGGCCCGTTCCTCAGAGACCTCCTTACCAGGTTACGGGAAATGCAATCGTAGACACTTCCTGTTTGCACCCTGCGCCCCTTCCCTGCGTGGAGCCCTCCCAGCCTCTCCCAGCTCTGAGGGCCCCAGAAGCCAGTGTCTTGTCAACTTTACAGTAAGTGTTCCTCCGGTGGGACCTCAGAGTGGACAGTCCGACAACCGCGAGAGCTGTGGGCACATAGACACCACCCAGCACAGCTGTCCCTGGCCTTTTGGGGGGTCCTGGTCTCCTTTGAGAATTGAATGACAGCTGTGGACCCTCCCCAGAAAAATGCATAATACTCATATCCACTACACTTTCCAGACCATTCCAGGGATTCTTGGACCCCCGGAAAGCTTACCTATGGATCCCAGGTAGGGCTCCCTTGACCTAGTGCGATCCATTCATTTCACAGATGAGGCAACAAATACCCAGAGTGGGGGGTGACTTGTTCAAGGTCACACATGGTCAGCGGGAAGCAGAGCCAGGACTCGAATCCAGCCCCCGGCTCCCCCCGACCTCCTGCACTGTGACAGCTTTGCCTCCAGCACTGGACAGAATGGGGTCCCCGGGGACGGAAACCCCAATTCAGGGCCCTTCGGAGTGTCCTTCTCTTGTCTTCTGGTTTCTGTCCTAGACATGTATTTTTGCTCAGCGTAGCTCAGAGAGGGCAGAAATGATGGCATTGAATAAACATGGACGGGTGGGGGGAAGTTGCAGGCTCTGGTGTAAATGCAACAAGAAATTTAAAGTTGAGAGAGGGAGAAAAACAGTAAGTAAACAACATTTGCATCTCCTGCGAGAGAGCTGGTGCTGTTCTGTTCGGTGCCCAGAGAGCTGAGCCTGGGGAAATCCCAGCAAAAGCACATCGGACTGGGCCCCGCCTGAGCCCCGTCCTCTTCCCAAGCTACTCTCTCCCCTTGTACCCAACTCAGGTCATTGGTGGCCCCTTGGTGGCCTGAGCCCCGTGCTTCGCAGGCGTGGTGCCTTCTGCCTGTGCAGCTCCCCCCTCCTGCAGCCACGGCTGCCCACTCACCACCACGCCGCTCCGTGGCCTGACACTTCCCCTGAGCCCCCAGCTGACTTGGGTCTCCTGGCACCTCCCCTCTCAGCACCTGGTTCGGCTCTTTCAGAGCCCATAACGTCATTCACGGTTCTCTATTTATCTGTTTCGGGGCTGTGTCCCCCAACTAGCCATTAAGCTCAGAGTGCACAGGGGCTGAGCCCTTGGTGCTTCTGGGCCCTGGGCATGACATATGGAGGCTCTCGCGAATCCCGTGCTAATTTCAGTGAATGGTGGCATCTGCTGGTTTGGCCCTGGGCACCTGGGACAAATGCCTGTGGGCCAGCTCATTTCTGAGATCCTGGCCAGGACTGCATGCAGCTGGGAGCTTCAGCACCAGATACAAAGGGAACAGGAGTGGGCGGCCAGTACCATGAATGGTGCCCAGCCCCTCAGAGCAGAGGTACCAGCCAAGTGGAGGCTCAGGGGGGCTGAGATACAAGCCGGCCTCTGTGTGCCTTTGAAGTGGAGCCTGGTGCTCTGCTTTTTTCTCAAGAGCCCCCCTCTTTGAACTCCGAGGGTCCCCCAGCCCCCTGCCAGCCAGCTCACCAGCCGTTGTGCCAGGGAGTGTCAGCTGAGGTCATGGGCAGATGGCCGAGGTGGACGCGTCCCCTGAGGGCTGCAGCACTCCAGGAATGATTAGGAAACTCAGAAACGGTTTTCTCTCCTGCCTTCTGGGCTCACCTCCAGATGATGGAGCTATCTTGAGAGGGCAGCCTGTTACTCATACTCAAGTCTGTTCTCTCTCATTCCATTTTGTTTGGGGTGGAGTGTATGCTTTTGTTTTTTCCTTTTCAACTTGACACCCAGGACTTCATGACTGATGCTGTGGGCAACACCTCCCAAGGGCCGGGAGCCTGGATCAATTCTTCTTTCTTCTTCTTCTCAGTATTGGGCTGTGGGGTGAGGAGGGGAGGGATCCATGGGACAGAGAGGCACAGGGTGAGGTACAAGCTGGTCTCCCCTCCCATCCCCTCCCAGGCTTGATGCCTGGGGAGCAGTGGTTGTGGGTGGAGGGGGCTGATACTGACTCTAGACAGTTTCTCTTCCCACTCCCATCTCCCATCCACTGGGGGTGGAGGGCAGGAGGCCAGAGACAGGTACATTCACCCCTGCAGATGGGTACCTGCTCCAGTGTGCCCCTTGCTTGCTCTTAAACATACCCCAACAGAGCAGCCCTCCCCTTCCCCGAATCTTGGATGATATAGTCAGTACAAAATTTTGTGTCTCATTTTTTTGTACCAATCAATCACCTTTGAAGGGGGATGAAAAATAAGCCACAAGAGGATGTTTAGGCCGCTGAGCGAAGCTGATTGGTCTGGTTGGGCCAGGTTACAATTCTGGAGCTAGCTGACTTGCCTTTGTTCTCCAGTTCATCACGATGCGGCTTACAGTAGAGTCCTGCAGCCTTGGTGGATAGAAGACATCCTCACGGCCAAGGTGACTAGTCTCTGGGCATCACGACAGGGCTCCGCAGCCTCCCTCCCTTCCTTACTCAGCTGGTGACTTTGTCTTTGATCACTGCATCATGGCTTTAGCACTTTGTCTCTGTTCTGGAAAAGCCTTTACATTTGCTCTGTCATAGCTTCCTTGACCTCCCAAGGCCAGTGCATCAAAAGAGAGTCACCATGCTGCAAACAGTGCTTCTGCTCCCAGGTGAGTGGCAGGGTGTGGGGGGCTGTCAGGAAGATGGTAGGAAATGCCAGAGCAGAAAGAAACAGTGGCTCTTATTATAGCATCTAGTGCTGGGCCTACATCACAGCAGGGCTCTGGACATTCTTGTCAAATGAATGACGGAATTCCCAGGATTCCTAAGGGTGTGAGAAACAATATAGAGGCAGTTCCACACAGAGCCTCTGGCAGGTACCACCCGGCACTGAACAGAGTACCTGCTGCTTGCTAGCTGTGCATGCGTGAGCAGGCTACTTGATCTCTCTGGCCCTACTTCCTCATCTGTAAAAGGGGGATGATGATGATGACGACAACAATAGGGATGCGGTGGCTGGGTGATAGACATTGGGGAGGGTATGTGCTATGGTGAGTGCTGTGAATTGTGTAAGACTGTTGAATCACAGATCTGTACCTCTGAAACAAATAATACATTATATGTTAAAAAAAAAAAAGAGAAAGAAAAAAAGAAAAAGAAGATAGCAGGAAGGGAAAAATGAAGGGGGGGGGAAGTCGGAGGGGGAGACGAACCATAAGAGACTATGGACTCTGAGAAACAAACTGAGGGTGTTAGAGGGGAGGGGGGTGGGGGGATGGGTTCGCCTGGTGATGGGTATTAAAGAGGGCACCTTCTGCATGGAGCACTGGGTGTTATGCACAAACAATGAATCATGGAACACTACATCAAAAACTAATGATGTAATGTATGGTGATTAACATAACATAATAAAATAAATTGGTATGTATAAAGCAGTTAAAATATTGCCTGGCACATAATAGGTACCACATAAGTGTTTGCTATTATTATTAAGACCAGAAAGACAGTTATTTGAAGGAATCAAATATTACTTTTAACCAGAAGCTATGGATTTCCTTACCTTGTAGGCAATCTCCACTCCCACAAGCGCTTCCCATACACATGGAACCATATATTGCAGGGGTCCGCAAGCTTTTTCTGTAAAGGCTCAAATAGTATTTTAGACTTTGCAGGTCATACGATTTATGTCACAACGACTCAGTTCTGCTGTCGTAGCATGGAAATAGCCATAGACAATGTGTAAATGAATGAGCAAGGCTGTATTCTAATAAAACTTTATTTACAAAAATCGGAGGCGGGCCAGATTTAGCCCACAGACCACAATTTGCCAACCACCAATCTATTGGGATTCTATCATTTTACAAGACTCTGCTTGAATTCTACCTCTTCTAAGATTTAATTTCCTCTACCTGAATTTCCAAAACATTGGGTCTGGAGGGAACTTAGTATCATGGAAACAATAAGCAGGAAAACTGGGTTTAAGCTCTGCCCTACTGCATGACTTTGAGCAAGGCATTTAATATCTGTGAAGCCTCAGCTTATTCACCTACAAAACAGGTGTAAAATGTTTTGCTTTACTTACTTTACAGGGTGGTGTGAAGATCAAATAGACAAGGCATGTGGTTGTGACTTGCAAACTCTAAAGTGCTACATAATGAAAGTTGGTCTTCATGCTGTCCCTGTGCTTAGGATAGTGCTTGGCACTTGGTCTGCATTAGCTGCACTGAATCCCAGGAGTGGTGTTAAGTATCGATTTTTATAACAGACATTGGTACGTGTCTGTATCTGTATTGATCTTCTTGGGCAGATGGAGATCTCAGTGGACACAGGCCCAGGAGAGCAAAAGGACAGCATTTCCTGGGGTAGAATCTATAGAATGCTTGTCAGCTTGAGATGTAGGTTGGGGTCAGAGTGCAGTAGGTCTGGATTGCCATGACAGAGAGTAAGGTTTCTAAAGGCATATATGGTTAGAAATCTGTATTAGTTTCTTAGGGCTGATGCAACAAATTACCACAGGCTTGGTGGCTTAGAGCAACAGAAATTTATTTTCTCATAGTTCTGGAGGCCAGAAGTCTGAAATCAAGGTGTCAGCAGGGTTGTACCCCCTACAGAGGTCATAGGGAAGAATTTGTTTCTTCTTCTTTTTCATTGTTGCTAACATGCCTTGACTTGTAGACATATCACTCCAATCTTTGCTTCCATCTTTACATTGCCTTCTACATTTGTATCTTTTCTCTCTCCCATCTCTTATAAGGATGCTTGTTATTTGATTTAGAACCTGCCTGGGTAATCCAGGATGATCTTATCTCAAGATCCATAACTTAATTACATCCGCAAAGATCTTTTTTCTAAATAAGATCACACTCATAAGCTCCAAGGATTTAGATATGACATATCTTTTAGGGTCATCATTCAACCCACTGCAGAATCTTATTATTTTCACTTAACTTTATTTTTTAAGATTTTATTTATTTATTTGAGAGAGAGAGAAGGAGAGACAGTGAGAGAGTACAAGCAGAGAGGAGAGGGAGAGGTGGGCTCCCTGCAGAGCAAGGAGCCCGATGTGGGGCTCGATCCCAGGACCCTGGGATCATGACCTGAGCTGAAGCCAGATACTTAACCGACTGAGCCACCCAGGTGCCCCATTCACTTAACTTTTTATCTAAAGTATTTCCCACATCATTGAACGATCTTCCAAAAACATTATTTTTGATGGCTAATAATATCCCATATTGTGGATATACCCTAACTAATTCATTTCCTCTTGCTAGACATTTATATTGCTCATGATTTTCTACTGGTATAATAAGAATACAGTGCATGGGCTTGGGAGTCATACATTCCCAGGTCAGATTCTGACTCTTTCATTTACCAAGGATGTGATGATAGTCAAGTTCCATAAACTTCTCTGGCCTCAGTGTCTCATTTGTGAAATGAGGATCATACTACTTATCTCATGGGGTGATTCAGAGGATCATAGGAAAGAATGTATGTAAAGTGGCCAGTAGCTGAAGGTCTGGCACATATAAGTGCTTAGCAGTCTTGTAAATTGCAGCCACTCTTGTTTTATTAATATTGATGACATTAATTGATGAAATTAACATCAGTTAATTTACTTAGGATGGATTTATAGAAGAATTATTCCCAAGTCAAGGGATGTAGACAGTTTTAAGGCTCTTGGTTTGTACTGTCAAATTACATTCCAGAAAAAGCATTTGCAAAGACACTCAGCCTTGCCCAATCCTACGTAGTAAGTACTCTCTCTGGGCACTGATGGCCAGCTAAATCAAGAGACAAAAATTTTATAAGTATGGAACCAGGTTTAAGCTTTGAAGAGCTTGCAGTCTACTTGGACCAACCAAATTGCATACATGAAACAAGACAAATAATAAAAAATGGAATTGAATTAATTAAGTCAGCAAGTATCTATTGAGCATCTGTTATGTACCAGCTACTGCCCTAGATTATACAGTGGTGAACAACACAGGGCCAGTCCTCGCCCTCATACAGCTTCTAATCTAGAAAGTCAGAACTGGGTTGTGGCGCCTCATTCCTATAGTGGAGTTCAGAGAGAGAAGGGACCCCCAGGGACCACGTGGATAGGGGATGCTTCCAGAAGAAAGATGACCCAGGAATGGACCTTGGAAAAGGGGCAAGGACTAGAGGAGGAGGAGTGGGTGGGCATGGAGGCTTGTGCCTCATGCCCTCAGATGTTTTACGGAGGCAGAAGTGGCAAAGGGCTCAGGAGGCTCCATTGTGAAAGACCGTAATAGCCTTGAGCATTGGCCTGGCAAGGGAGGTCAATTTTTTTTTTTTTCCTTTAGAAAACTAGAGACTCATAGAATTTTCTGAGCAGGGAAAGGCTAGTGAAAGATCTAGGAAGAGTGAAAGGGTCTGGATGAGTCAAGCCTGCAGCCAGAAGGCCAGCCATACTTGGATCTATAAATCTTGTCCTGTTCCAGAAGCAAGATATGGTGGCATAACTTGGTGGCAGCACTCACACTACTTGGCACGTGAAATCCTGAGCCTTTACCCACCATCTCCTCCAAATGCCCAACACCAAACCCTCAGCAAGCTCTAAGCTTCCTTGAGTGATTGCCATTGTTTCCTGGGGCTCTGGGATGAACGGATCCTAGTTTCTCTGGTCCTGGGAGGTCCTGGTGTTTTAACTGCATAGGCCATAAGTGTCCTTGAGCCAGTGACCCTTCCAGGAATTTCTTCTGTTCCACTCTGATGTGTTCCCAGGGGAGGGGAAAATACCTGATGACTGACTAGCTCTATGTCCCCTTTGGGGATTACTATGCCTCCCTGGTCAGGTTTGGGGTGCAGAGGAGGAGACCTCCTCACATTTCCTGCCTGACCACACTGGCATATTCTAGTCAGTGGTGGCAAGGACTGGGGAAGGGAAAAGAACATGAGGGACTCTGGGGAGACCCCTGTGTGTGCAGAGAATACCTCTTCCAACCCAACTGTCTTAGTTTAGGCTGCTATAACAAATTACCATAGACTGGGTGGCCTAAACCATACACATTTATTTCTCACAGTTCTTGAGGCTAAAAACTCAGACGTAGATGCCAGCATGGTCAGGTTCTGGTGAAAACCCTCCTCCAGGCTGCAGACAACCAAATTCTCACTGTATCCTCACATGGTGGAGACAGTGAGCTAGCTCTCTGGGATCTCTTTTATAAGGTCACTAATCCTATTCATGAGGGCTCCATTCTCATGACCTAATTACTTCACAAAAGCCCCACCTCCTAAAACCATCCACATTGGGGGTTAGGATTTCAACGTATGAATTTGGGTGGTGGGGGGGGACACAAACATGTAATCTTTTAACACCAACCATGAGGCCCACTCCTGTGTCACAGGCCCAGTGGGTGCAAGTAAGAGGTTGGCTCATTTAGGGTCTTCACAGAACAAAGAAAGAGCCATTTCTCTAGTCTCCTTCTATTCCTGTAAATTGGACCTCACAATGCACCCCCTTCCCAGACAGGCACATAGGTTTTTCAAGGACACAGGCAAGCTCACTGGGCTGCCACCTGGTGATCTTTGCCCTGGGGCTTTCCTGGGCTTCAGTGCAGGGGGAAAGAGTGACATCCACTGAGACCCTGAACTCAGGGACCCAGGTGAGTCATCAGAGTTTGAGGGGCTTGAGATCCATCCCCGGAAAGACCCCCTCATAGTGCAGACAGGGCTGGTGCAGGGCCACCAACGAGGGGCTGGGGTCAGAGCAGGCTCAGCACCTAGCTCTCTGCACTCAGAATGGAGTTCCTCCCCTACTACGTCAGGCCTCCAAAAGGTGACCTGTCCATCCTGAAGGTGATTTGCACCAATGGAGATGGTTTCGATTTGCTATTACTTGGCACATCCCTCTTTAATTTAAAAATAGCAAAGTTCCTGAATGGGTCAGAAAATCAATAGATCCATTTAAACCTCAAACAAAAACTATTCAGGTAAAACCACAGACATGTAGAAAAACTTTTCCTGGGGCGCCTGGGTGGCTCAGTTGGTTAAGCGACTGCCTTCGGCTCAGGTCATGATCCTGGAGTCCCGGGATCGAGTCCCGCATCGGGCTCCCTGCTCTGCAGGGAGTCTGCTCCTCCCTCTGACCCTCCCCCCTCTCATGTGCTCTCTGTCTCTCTCATTCTCTCTGTCTCAAATAAATAAATAAAATCTTTAAAAAAAAAAAAAAAGAAAAGAAAAACTTTTCCTGGGAAAACTGCTCGCCCTATACCACTAAATATAAGTGCTGCTGAAGGCCAGAGTTGATATAGAAAAAAAGAGAGAAACCAAGGAAGATGTCACTAAATTGTTTTTATTTCAAGAGGGAATGGAGTGAGGAATCTAAACAGAGTGGGGAAGGTGAGGACAGCTTACCAGAGGGAGTGCAAGAGGGGACTTACTGGGCTCAAGTGAAAGGACCCACCAAAGCTGGGAAACCCTCCTGCACATGGTGGGCTGTTGGAACACAGTGGTGGGGAAAGAACCTGCTCTGAAGGAACTTGGGGAAGCCCAGCTCATTCACGGAGGCTGGAATTTATGAATGAACTAGACTCCGCATGGTAGCGTCATATGCCCCGTGCTATGTTCCCTTGGACCCTGTGTTCACGCAGTCTTTCCCCTGAAATTCTCCTCCCTGCTGTCTCAGTCTGTTGATGCCTTAACCATCTTTTCATTAATCCACTCACTCGCTGATCAACATGTAAGGAGCACTCAGATTGTGCTCCTTTGGAGCTGGAGATAAACTATGAGCAAGACAAACTGGGTAACCGCCCTCCCTGCGCTCGCGTTTGGGAGATGCTGGAGGTTGGAGGTGTTTGGGGGAGGGAGAAAAGTGGACAGGTAATTATTGCAAGACCGTCCAGGTAAATGCTGTGAAGCAGAAGTACAGGGTGTTCTGAGCACACGATGCGATCCGTCCTAATCTGGGGCAGTCAGGAAGGGCTTTCCTGAGGAAGTGACGTTTGGGTGGAGCTCTGGAGGCCACGTGTGAATTAATTAGGAAGAGGCTGGAGGGCATGGCAGGAAGAGGCGTCAAAATGTGTGCAGACTCAGAGCAGGGGTGGCTTCTTTGGGGACATGAAAGGCAGACTTGGAAAGTGAGACCCAGTGTGGCTCAGTGAAGCGTGGAGGCATGGGAGGGGGCATACACTCAAGACTCAGTCATTCCTCAATGACTGTTTACCTCAGAGAGAGAAAGGAGAGAGAGAATTAAGGTGATAAAAATGAAAGGGTTAATACGTTACCCACTAGCTGAAGGTCAGTCAGACAAGGGATAATGTAGCAGGCCTGTGAAAGGCAATAGGGAGTAGTAGGGACTGTGGAAAACAAAAGGATTTATATATATATATATATATATATATATATATATATATATATATATATCCATATATACACATATACTGTACCCAAAGGTATTTAAATTTAAAATACATTAAAACCTGTTACTGGCCAAACAAAGCAAAATCTGAAGGCTACCACACTTTTGGGTACTTGATTACAGGGGAACTTGGTGCCTGGAAATAAGGAATGTGGTGGAGGGAGGGGAACTGCTTGGCCAAGAGCCAGATAAAGAGCCCAGAAAGCCCCTCTGGTCCTGATTCCCCCCTGTGCCTGTCAGATGGTCTGCTCTGTACTCATGCTCCTGGTGGCCTCCTCCAGCTTGCCTCCTGGGGCTCGCCTATCCCAGGGTCACCCCAATCTCTCCAAAAGCAGAGCCGAGGGCAGGATAGTACCTGCTGACTCACACGGATGGTGAGCTGGGCAAAGGGCCCTGAGCAGCTATGCGTAGCTCAGGAGCACCTGCCCGTGGGCTTGCAAGCACGGCAGTGAGACTGGCAAGCTAAGAAGACATGAAGATTTGAGGGTGAGGGAGAGTAGGGAAAAGAAACAGATGATGCAGAAAGGAGCTGAAGCAGATACATAACCTGAGAAAATAAGATTAGAGAACTGACACACTTATTGGTTATTTCAGTGTTAATTTCCTAGCCCAATTTTGGGTCATTTGCATCTCATAATTGGCTCTTTCAAAACTTGAAGATAGGGGAGCTTATTTGGCAACCTCCTCCACTTTCCCTTTGTGATGGTAAAAGCATGGCTGAGCTTATCTTAAATGTAATCACGTTTGATCAAAAAACAATTATTGGGTTTTTCCCCCTCTCTTTGTTCTGATTTAAACGACCTTGCATGTATGGGGGGGTTTTCTGCACTTAATCGCTTCTCAGTTGTGCAGAGGAAGATGCTCAGCCTTGGTGTGTTTGCTTTCCCTGCAACTCTGATTAAGAACTCCATTCCTTTCGCTAGACCTCTGTGACGGAAACCTCTTTACATGACAGGAGGAAAAGCTATCTCACCAAAAGAGAAACACTTTTAAAGGCCATTTCAATATGCAAACATTTTTCTTGCCGCACACGTGCCTCTAATTGTTGGTTCTACCACCCCCTAAAACAAAATGTGGAGATATTCCCTGAAGGAAACTCAGCTGAGCCAGAATTTTGAAATGACAGGCTCATGAATGGCAAGTCTCTAAAGGCAGTAAAAATTTGTGGCTTCTTGATGGCCCGATGTCCATTTCACGTAATGCCAGAAGAGCACGGGGTTTGTGTTCAGATATCTACTCTTTTCCTCTCAGTCCACAGGATTCTAGTGGAGTTGACTTTGCCTTGAGTCCCAAAAAAGGTATTACATCGGGGCTGAGAGAGCCAGAGAATGATGTTCTCTGGCTGGTTCAGGGATGGCCTCCTGAGCAATGACTGGCCAATTAGGGTCAAGAAGACTCCATTTGGGACAGGTGTCAGCTACTAGAGAAGATTCTCTCCCTTTCCTGCTGTACCAAAGCCTGAGGGCACATGAGGCTTGAGCCGCTTTGGCCATCTTTTTTTTTTTTTTTTTAAGATTTTATTTATTTATTTATTTATTAGAGAGCGAGCGAGAGAGAAACAGCATGAGAGAGGAGAGGGTCAGAGGGAGAAGCAGGCTCCCCGCTGAGCCGGGAGCCCGATGTGGGATTCGATCCCAGGACCCTGGGATCATGACCTGAGCCGAAGGCAGTCGCTTAACCAACTGAGCCACCCAGGCGCCCCATCTGCTTTGGCCATCTTGTCCCCACAACAAGAAGACTTATGAGAGCCAACACGTCAGAAGACAGAGCCAAGAAAAGAAATCCAGTCCTTGTGACATCACTTGAGCATTTGAATCTCACAGTGTGTGAAGCCAGCCTACCCCGTGGACTTCTACACGAGACAATACATTTCTAGTTTTTTCTTGAGTCTGTCTGGATTAGGTGTTCTCAGTCTTCTGGGTATAATCTAGCCAAACATAAAGATATGTGGCTGGTTGCAGTATAGGATTCCAGTCAAATCTGCCCCATTACTTTAGTTACACCTTATCGTTGCTGTATAATGTTTTCAACTTCTTAAAGCATCTTGACAAATGTGCTATTGCATTTCATCCAGACCATTCTTATGGGAATTTTCCCACGTCACTTCCCTGTGATAAGCAGCTCTCCCAGGATGACCCTGCTACTACAGAGAAGAGCCCCGATTTCCCAGCAGGCCTGCAGAAAACTCCTCTCTGCCCACATCCTCTTTTCTTGAAAGAAAAAGTTAAACATTTTAATAACTACCCCAGGAAACTCAGTCTTGGGAAGGATGATTAAACAGGGAGGTTCTTTTCCACTGCAGCCTCTTAATAGACAAAAACCAGGAAAAAATCCCAAGTGTCCAGCCATGAGCACCTCTTTAGAGTGGAGTAGTGTGAACCCTTTAACGAGGCTGACCTAAATGTCCAACCGCCAAGCAATACAGGTGAAAAGGCAAACTGTGTGTGTAATACGCTATGTTTGAGGTTTTTTTAAAGAAGTGCTGATGCTGAGGTAGATTGAGTCAATTTTGGGGGTGCTGAAAGACGTAGTTAAGGAGTGGGGCTATAGGAACCTGAAGCTGGAAAGGAAAAGGGGTGGCTGGTGATTTTCTGGAGGAAAAGGCAGATTCCTGGTACTTAGCATTCATTCAATGTCTTAATATTTCTACTGTGTGTCTTCTTCCCAGTCATTGATCTGGGCTGTCTGCAGACACCAGGGCCAGGATGGCCTCATTCTCCCATGCTTCTGGGATTAACCTTATTTTGGACAACAGGTATATGGCTTGAAATCCTATATGAGAAAAAACATTTACAAATGTATTAAGCTCAAGGGGTGGGAACAGAGGAATGAAGGATGTAAGAACCTAAGAACTTCATGGGCCCTGCACCGTCCATCCCCAGGGCCCCGAGGGGGTGTCACCAGGAGCGTGGGGTCCACCGCAGGGCACAGCAGTGGGACCTGGGGACACACTTTGAGAAGGACAGGTATCTGGCCTCTGAGGAGCAGGAGGGACATACGACCCAACTGAAGAAGCTCCTGGGATTCAAGAACCAGCAGGCCAAATGTTCTCAACAGCAGGGACAGGACCAACCACAGCAGTGCCCAGGGGAGCCCAGGAGGACTTACCCAAGACCCTTTCAGGGACCCGCTCTCACCCCTAAGACGTCTGGGCACCAAGCAGGCACGAGCTCTGCAGACAGGACTAAGTCCAGCACTAGGAAGTTACTGAGTGTATAGGATCGTCTGACCCTGGAGTGCCTGGAGCCTGGGACGGATGGAGGGTACAGTCTGTGAGCTGCCCTGACGTCACTGTTTGAGGCCATGCCTTGATGGGCTTTGCCGCTGTTAACGATGCCATAGCGTGGACGGCACATCATCTATTTATCCAGTCGGCTACTGGTGGCCATTTGTCTTGTTTTCACTTTGCAACCATCACAAATCATGCTGCTTTCATCGCTGGGTTTGTGCGCATGCTGTCAGTTCCTAGGATGAGGACTTGAATTGCTGTTCACAGGTCCAGCTTTTTGTGTTCGGCTTCAGTGGATGCCGCCAGAGTGTTCCAAAGGCTTTGAAGTGTTTACCCCCCCAACAGAGAGCTCCTGCTGTTCAGCATGGACTTTTTTTTTTTTTTAAGATTTTATTTATTTATTTGAGAGAGAGAGAGAGCACATGAGAGGGGGGAGGGTCAGAGGGAGAAGCAGACTCCCCGCCGAGCAGGGAGCCCGATGCGGGACTCGATCCAGGGACTCCCGGATCATGACCTGAGCCGAAGGCAGTCGCTTAACCGACTGAGCCACCCAGGCGCCCTCAGCATGGACTTCTAAGTCTTTGTCGATCTAAAATTTTACCCCCTATTCATAATCCATGGCTTTTGTTGACAGTGAGGTGATAGTGAGGTTGGGCACGCCTCACATGTTCACCAGGCATTAGGATTTCTCGTGTAAAGTGATTTTTCACCCATTTTTACTTGAATTGATTCTTAAAGCTCCCTTAACCATTAATGTGCTGCGAACATTTCCCCCATTATGTGGCTTGTTTTTTCATCCTTTGTGTCATCTCATGAATAGAATTTCTTGGTTCAAATGTTGTGTATTTATTTCATTGTTTCTCAAACGATCTGTGGGTCATGGACCATTTTTTTTTTTTCCATTTCCATCAGGGAGTGATTGATAGGTTCTAAAATAAAATAAGATTATTAACATAGAGTAAAATTTTTAAAAAACAAGAAAAATACTAAGACAGGAAGGAAATCTTACTGAATCCTTCTGTGGCTTTGACTTTTCATACTTTATTAGGTTTTCTTCAAGTGGAGCACCTGTATTGAGCCAGACACATTCAGGCACTCGACAGATGCTTTCGAATCTAAAATGGAGAGGATAGAGACATCTCACTGGCCTGGAGTGCTGGAAATGGTGCATGACAGAAAAGAATATTGAGCTTCCAGACACGAAAAAGGAACACCAAAAAACCAGTATAATGACAAAAATGTCCTCAAGCACAAAAGTCTGAAAACAATCAGATTAAGAATGGAATACATTCTACCCTAGCATATTTCTTGCCATATGAATGGTCTACCAGAATAAAAAACAGGGAACACAGTGATCTTACTCATTTACATGCCATTACCCAGAATGCGCTATGGGCTTATCATTTTGAGGAAGAACTCTGTGAGCGTCAGAGTTTGGAAATGAAAGCAAATTAATTTTAGCTATGACAAAGATGTGTGTGTGTTGAGTGTTTGCATCAAGTATCTGGGGGTGCACTGAGTGTGTGCGTGTGTTTATATGTGGAATGTGTGGTGAGTGTGTGTGTGTTTGCCTGCAGGTGCCCACAGTAGGAATGTGTGTGGCAAGGACACCAGGAGGATAAAAACACACCTGCTTTCGGTCACACATGTTGTATCGGGAAACCAAAGGGCTGCTCCAGAGTCTGATTTCCTTTGTGCAGTTTGCAGCTTGGCACAAATGAAACAGCAGACCAGCTACTATTTATTTGGAGGTGATTGCTTTGAGCAGTCTGGAAAAGGAGAGAGGACACGGGGCCAGGGTCTGTCCTCAGCCCACATGGTAATCTCATGGCTGGTAGGTTCTTAGTCATCTCTTTCTTCACAGGGACTTACAGCCCACTTTTGCTCCTTTTCAAGTGAAAAACTAAACCTTAATTATCCAGAAAGAATCACAGGATGGGACACAATTCACCAAGAAAGTGTGGGTGGTAGGAGGAGGGGGGACGATGACAAATTGACCATTAAGAAATCGGCCTGTGAGCTCTCATTCAGTTACCTATGTATGATCTAGACCCTCAATAGGCTGAAAGCTCTTCAAGACTTGGGAATTTTAATTCGTTTCCCTACCCAGCTCCCTTCCCCTCTTTGTCACACTCGGCACTATTAAGATCTTAATAATAACGGGGGCGCCCGGGTGGCTCAGTCATTAGCATCTGCCTTCGGCTCGGGTCATGATCCCGGAGTCCTGGGATCGAGCCCCACATCGGGCTCCTGGCTCAGCGGGGAGCCTGCTTCTCCCTCTGCCTCTCTCCCTGCTCATGCTCTCTCTCTGTCTCTGTATCTCTGTGTCTCAAATGAATAAATAAAATCTTTAAAAAAAAATCTTAATAATAACAGTGATAATAGCTAACCCTGAGCACCTGCTCTATGCCAGGAGCCTCGCAGAAGCTTCACTCCAGTTGACAAGGTGCCACACGATTTGGCCCCTGCAGACCTTTACCTTCCCAGCTCATACTCCTCCCTCTTTGTGCTCCAGCCACATCAGCCTTTTTTTCTGCTTCTTGAACCCACTAAGCTTGTCCCCATCTTAGAGCCTTTGGGCTTTCAGTTCCCTCTGCTCAGAAGCTTCTCTCTCCAGCTGTCAGCATGGTCTACTCTGTCGAATGCTGCTGAAAGACCAACTAAGTTCAGAATAGAACAGTAATTGCTGGACTGGGGCAATGCAGACATTCTTGGTCATCTTGACAGGTGTGGTCTCTGTGGCTTTGGGACAACAGAAGCCCAACTGCAGAGCACAGAGGAGACCACATAGAGTGAATAAGCAGAGACGGTAATTACAAAAATGTTGCCAGGAATGGAGGCAGAAAAATAATAGTAGGAGAGAGATGTGGGGTCAAGGAGGGTTTTTTGTTTGTTTGTTTGTTTTTTTGCTTGTTTCCTTTTAAGACAAGAGATAAGAGAGCATGGCTCTATATAGATGGAAATTGCACACGCCTCTGGCACGGGGATAATTTCTGGGAAGAGACGTTTTGGAGAGGAGCAAAGTGAAAACAGGGTCTGATAGGAAAATTGTAGATCGCCAGGCAATATTGAGTTTGCTCAATAAATTTAATGCTCACAAAATCCTATGGGGTAGATACTGCTATTTTTCTTATTTCATAGATGAGAAATCTAAGGGCCAGAGATGTAAAAGAACCTGTCCAAGATCACAGGCAAGTAGAGGAACTAGCTGGGGTTTGAAATGAGTTTCTGATTCCTGGTTAATCACAGGATCCAAATGCAAGATTATGAAGGGTGAAAAGTCAGCTCCTGAGCCAGAGGAAAGCTCGAGAGTTATCAGAGATATACCTAAAACCCGAGGCTTGCAATTCGGGCGCTGGAGAAATGGCATAGCTCCAGTGGTTTATAAATATGGGAATTTTGAAGATTTGTATTTAGTTGCCAAAAAACGTATCTGTTGGCAATATTCTATTTGACACTTGGGTGTTTGCTTTCAGGCACATTTCTGTTTTGTGTTACATTTCATAACAAAAGGTTTAGAAATAAGCCTGAGCTGCCTTGTTGGTGGTAGATAATATGGACCATCTCCGCTCGAAATGTGGCACGACTTAGTAATTAAACAACCTGACTGGTCATCAGAACCACCTGGGAAAACTTCTAAAATGAAGATTCCCATCCAAGACCGGGGACTCAGAATTCCCCGGCACACAGCCCAGAACATGTATCACCGGAAGCTCCCCATGACTCCCATGCTCAGCTAACTTTGGGAACTGTTGGCCTCAAGCACACCAGTTCAGTTAAAATCAATGTTTTCTGCAATGTTGTTTCCTGTGGTCTTTGGAGATGCTCAAAACATGCCTCCTGCCAATTGGCTGGTCAACTCAACAATGTCCTATGTTCTCCTCTCCTGCCCTGTACCCTGAACTTGACCCTACCCTTTTACTTTCTTTCTGATTGTTCCACTGCTTCATACCATGGAAATAAGTGTATGCCAATGCACTGTGTTATAAGAAATATCCTTTAGCTTCAACACTAAGTGATCACAGGACTGATCACATCGCTTCTCTCTCATTAGCATTCCTCTCCCTTGACACCTCCTGGGGAAATACTCCATGCCACCCTGAGGAAAGAGCTTCATAGGGAGGTTGGAGCCACAGGTGGTGGGTGTACATCCATGTGGGAATCGACCGGCTTCTTGGCTGGACTAGACCCAGCAGTGGATAGATGACACACCTGCTAGGAAGACCACAGCAGTGGTCTTGGTCATGGAAGGAGACGTTCTCCACACTCATTTCTAATCCAGAGCCAGCTGACCGTGGCCACTCCTGGACGGGAAAGGCAGAAATGCTCAGATGGGGGTGGATGATTTAGGAGAAGGTAAGAGCTGAAGCAGCATGAACCAGCCTGGGTTCGTAATCAAGACTCACAGAGGCCCTAGAAGAGCCAGCTCTGGGATTATCACCTTCCCTCATTCTCTAACCTAGAAAGAACACAGTCAAAATACAGTTCCCAAAAAATACAGTTCCAGTTGCCACCCTTCTCCGAAAAGAAAGAAGTAAAAGAGCGTGAGTTCGAGGGGCGCCTGGGTGGCTCAGTCGTTAAGCGTCTGCCTTCGGCTCAGGTCATGATCCCAGGGTCCTGGGATCGAGCCCCGCATCGGGCTCCCTGCTCGGCGGGAAGCCTGCTTCTCCCTCTTCCATTCCCCCCTGCTTGTGTTCCTGCTCTCGCTGTCTCTCTGTCAAATAAATAAATAAAATCTTTAAAAAAAAAAAAAAGAGCGTGAGTTTGAGACTTGCTTTGCAATTTGAATCTCAGGAATGTGTAACAAGCAGCAGTCCCTGCCTTCAGAGCAAAGATGCTCTATTGAAACTTGACTCATCCTTGGCAGTTGATTGTGTTCCCCCCACCCCTCCTTCCCTGTGACACAGAGGAGTGAGGTGAGTAATCCTCTACGCAGTGAGAGAAAAATAGATCCCCAAATGCCTTCCATTATGCGAAAGGCCTGTGTCACCAGCTGAGGTGGCGGGGGTCGGCGGGGGGGGGGGGGCGGTGGGGGAGGTCATCATCCATTACAGGGGAACAGTCAGATCTTCCGACTCCCTCTCTCCAGGGCTATTTGTGGTTCCCAAAGTGCAACAAGCAGGGACTCAAAACTGATAAGCCCAGAGAAGTCTAAAAGCCCTGCTGGGGGTCTTATGAGAGCCACAGTGGTCAAGAGCCTTTGCATGCAGGAGTCCACAAGGCCACACAAAAGGTAAACAGTTGGATCCACTTTCTGCTGCCTGACACTGCCTGCCCCTTCCCCACAGGCCTAAGAACTCCCTCTTTTTCCCCCAGCGTAAAAATAGCTAATATTTACTGAGTGCCGGCTACATGGCAGGCATTGGGCAAAGCATTTTCCATGGGTTATGCACGCTCATTTTTGTGTGCATGTGTGTGCACACACGTGTGCATCCATAGACATACACACACACACCCTGAGGTGGGTACTAACAGAATCTCCTTTTGCAGATAAGGAAACTAAAGCACAGGAAATTTTCATAACTGGCCCCAGAGTTACGTGGTTAATGCAGGACACAGACCCAAGTAGTCTTCAGAAGAGTGCTCTAAACAAACACAACCGTATTATATGATCTGCTTGGCTAAATGCAGTTATTTGAACAATGAACAAGAGACAGATAGGAAAAAATTTCTGTTTCTTCATTTATTTGCTTCATAGACTCCCCAGGTCTTATCCCAGAGATTGGAATACCGATCAATAACCCCAGATGTCCTAAAAGCATTTTTTGTTACAAAACTCCTTCTAAAAGGAGGAAATGGGGATGTGGTCATTGCCAGAGCTGGAGGCTTCCCTAATAAAGCAGTAGCGGGTACAAATCACAGGTGATTATGTGAAACTTCTTTCTCCCTTACAAAAGCTTACAAAAATTGAAAAGCCTCTATCTTCCCCTATGCAATTTTAAAAAATATAAATTAATTTCCAATATGTCAGCACCGTATTTCCCACTTCTGGAATTGACCACATTATCCTCCCACCCAGCTGGAACTGTGCTAGGGAGAAAAATAAATGTTTGTCTCAATGGCATTTTCTTATTCAGCTAATTGATTTTTTAAAACAACAATAATGCTTGAACATCCAGCCGCCTAATTACTAGCAGCTTTTTATTTGCACTATCATTAACTTCACAGCTGCCTTGCCGCCGCTTCCCTTCACTACAGAGACATCAGCTGCAACTGCTAGTTTCTGAAAGGAAGAGCATGAGTAAGGCCTGACTCTCCCTCTGCCAGGGTCAGTGAGGGCTTCGGGCTGATCTCAGCAGCACAAATGCCCCACTTCAATCGGAGGGAACTGCTCGTGGGAACCATGTTGGGTGGAAGGAACCTTGAAGGGCATCTGGTTAATCCTCTCCACTTACAGATGAGGGAGTCTGAGGTCCAGAGAGGTTAAGAGGCTTGCTTCGGGTCACACAGCTCCTCACCTCTTGCGCTGGAACTGCCACCCAGGCCTCCTGATTCCTTAGCTATTTTTTTTTTTTTAATTTAAATTGAAGCATACGCACAGAGAAGCATATGTATCATGAGTGTACAACTTGAGTAATTATCTTTACGTGAACACATCCATGCAGCCACCACCCAGGTCAAGACACAGACCGCCTGAGAAGCCCCGCTGGTGTCCTGCTTCCCTTCACTACAAACTCTCTTCTCTGCAAAAGTATCGTGATCCTGACTTCTAACATCACGGGTTACTTTGGCTTGGCCCAGGTTCTTTCGATAAAGAGCTGTGTTACATGGAGTTTGGCTACTCAGACCTAAAAAATAAATGTGAATTGGAGTGAATTAAATGGTGAATTAAGACAGCATATCCCCAAAGGAAACCCCATACCATTAAGGAGTATGGGGTCTCCCTTGGGAGTGATGAAAATTGGGACTAGGTGAAGGTGGGGATTACACAACATCGTGATGTTCTAAATGCTGCTGAACTGTTCACTTTTAAACGGTTAATTTTGCTGTGTGAATTCTACCTCAATAATAAAAAAAAAAAAACCTCATCCCTTAAGATATGTACATTTCATTGTATGTAATTTTAAACTAAAAATACATTGTAAAAATATTCAACTCTTAAAGACAGCATATCCCTAACAAAGTCTTGTCAATCCCTTCCACACATCTAACCCTATAGTACCTGGCCAGCAAGCCTTACTGACCAGCTGACCTGGGTGTTTTCCTTTGGCTTTCTTCTCTTCATTGCACCGCCACGTGCCTCTTGTCCTTATCTCTCCACGAAACAGTCCCTTATCAGGGTCATCTTGCCAAAGCCACTGGCCCGTTCTCTGTCCTCATCTTTCTCAACCTCAGGGCAGCATTCAACCTAGATGACAACTCGCTTGTTCTTGAAACACTTGTCTCGGCTTCTGTGACATCATGTTTGTCTGGTTTTCTTCTTACCTCACCAGCCATTCCTCATTTCCCTTTGCTCCTTCTCCCCTTGGTGCAGGCCCAGGGCTCTGTGTTTTAGCACCTCTCTTCTTTAGCTGGGTGTCCTCATCCAGTCCATCCACGTCTATGATTTGCAAGTAACTATCTCCAGCCTAAACATCTCTGCTGAGTTCCAGGTGTGACTAACCAACTGCCCACTTGACATCTCTACTTGGAACGTCTCACACAGCTAAGACAGAAATATGGATTCTTTCCTACCCCAAGTCTGCTCCCCAACTTGGATTTCTCACTTTTGTAAGTGACACCATCATCCACCTAACCACTTGGACTAAAACTTGATCATTGTGTTTGAATCATCCCTTTTCCTCACACCTCACTTCTAACCCATCAGTGTATCCTATTGTCTCCACCTCCCAAATGTATCCCAAATCCACCACCTGTCCATTTCCATGTCTGCTGCTCTAACCCTGGTCCAGGGTCCCTCCATCATTTCTCACCTGGACTCCTGCATTATCTCCTAATAGATCTTACTTCCCTCTTGTCTTCCTTTAGTCCAACCTTTACCCGACAATGGGAATAATGTTTTTAAAAGGTAAGTCAGGTCCTCTTAGTGAGTGCCCACTGCATTCAGAATAAAACCCAAACTCTCAGAAGCTCAACGGCTGCCCCAGCTTACCTGTCCAGTCTCATCTCTCTCCACTTGTCCCTCACTCAGGACACTGCAGCCACACTCACTTTCTTTCTGTCTCCTGAATAGGCCAGTCTTGTTCCAGTCTGAGGGCCTTTATATCTGCTCTTCTTTTGGTGGGGGCATTCTTCTCGTCTTGAGCGGCACCTCTTATTATTATGACCTCATCTCGAGTGTCACTACCTCCTTCAAGAGACCTTCAAGAGACCTACACCCACTAAAAACAGCCTCTCCTGCTCAAGATTCAATGTATTCCTCTTGATTCTTTTTATATATGCCTAAACTTTTCTTATGTATATTTATTTTGACTTGTTTAATAGCTATCTCCTCCTGCTAGGAGTTAAGTTCCCTGAGGGCAAGGACTCCGTTGTATTCATGGTTTTATCTGTGCTTAGAACAGTATTTAGCAATAGAAAGCACTATGTAAGTTGATTGGCTGGATCTCATCAACTCACCTGAGATGGAAAAGCAAATTATCGTAATATGGTCTCCCATTATTTATCATTTCAGGACACCAAGTTGCAAGTAACAGAAACCCAGTTTAGACTGCCCTAAGCAATAGTAACAGAGAAGATCAAGAATAGATCTGTCTTTAGGCACAGCTGGTACCATAGACTCAAAATTGCCAGAATTATTGCCTTGCAATCTCTCCTTCTCTCTCTCTTAGCCCTGCCCTCCTCTGGATTGGTTCCATTTGCTGGCAAGCCCTCCCCATGCAGTGACTCCTGCCAGCTCTGTGTTTATGTTCTACATTGTACAGCTCCGCCACCCAGTAGAAAGAGAGCTGCCTCTTCCCAGCCTTTCCAGCAAAAATCTCAGAATTGACTTTCACTGGACCAACTTGGATCACATGCCCATCCCTGAACCAATCACTGTGTCTAGGGAGAAGGAACATGCTAATTAGTCAAGCCAAGTTGCTCACCCACTCCTAGATAGGATCATGTGATTGGGAATTGGCTTCACCTGGGCCACATGGTTTGTGGGCAGAGGAGAGTGGCCTCTCCCCCAAAACTTCAATGCTATCACGAGGGGCAGAGATGCAAGTTGTGGGAGAGAAAAAAATGTCCATCACAATTGTCTTTTTGTTTCAGGGAGCTGAAATTTGTGCCAGTTCCAGAATAACCTATGATTTTAATGTTTAAGGATCAAGAATGGCCTGGCTGCTGCCATCTTACAGGGCAGCCTGATGAGCTCAATTATCCACTGAATATTTACACAACACTGACCATCTCGTGTACCTTATCTCATAAGGCCTTTGTGACACCTCCTGCCCTGGAAGGGGTCATGCTTTGTTAGTCTCCTGTCTGTCCACTGGTACTGAGTTTATGATTAAGGCCTGACCTCAGGACAGGAGGGTCAATGTCCTAGACTCTCATTTCTCTGGTGTCAGGCCTCCAAGTTCCTGAGCCCTGGTCCATGAAGCCCTCATCTCTCTAGGTCTGGAATGTTTCCCTTTGCCTTGCATCATTGTTAGTCTTCTTGATTTTGCCCCTCAACTCATTGTGCTGGACTGCTCCTTCCTACCCTACCCCTCTGAATTTGCTTTCTGACCAGGCCTGCTGCTACCCAACATCTGCCTTCACATCAGGCATTTCCCTTACCAGGTCATTCCTTCCTTAATCTTCAGTGATGGGCATCATACAGAGGGAAGAGCTAGAGGTGAGTTGATCCCTACCTCGTCATTACCTTTCATATACTCACAGATTGACACTCAGTAGGTCATCCGTTTTCCCTTCTCCAAATTCCATTTATTTAGTAAAATCAAATTTTCTTAGCCCTTTCAAATTGTTACTCCCCATTTGGTCCTCTGCAATTACATGTCGTATGCTCTGTGGCTGAGATACAGTAATAAGAGCACCGTCGTTTTTCCTCTGAGTCATGAACTTGGGGACCAAGTATTCTTCATGATCCCACTTGTTATTTCCTTTTTCTTTAACTGCAGAAAGTCACTCTGGTGGTCAGGTGAATTCCTTAGCAGTGATCCTTTGGCACAAGTGTTCTCATTCTAACCACTTATGTTGGTTGAACCCATCTACTTGCACAAATAGAAACAAAAAGCTTATTTCTCTACAGAGGCTGCTAACCTGACCCACAAAGGCAGTTTTACTCCCACCAAAGTGTAAAATCCATGATGACAGGAACTTTGTTTAATTACTACTTTATCTCCAGTTCTCGGCATATATCAGTGCTCAATGACTGTGGATTCACTCATTCAACAAATGCTTATTAAGCATTTATTAAAGAGGGCATTGTGCCAGGTGATACTTGGGATTGAAGGAATAAAAACAAGTGTACCTAGGAGGTTATTTCAGGCATGAGTAAGAGAACTGTCTTAAACAACTAGGCATTTATTAATGGACATAAGTAGCAGTCTAAATTTAGATCAACTCAGGTTGGTTTGATCCACCCTCAAGGATCCAGGTTTTTTCACAGTTTCTCATCCTAAGACTTACTCCCTCTGGGGGAGAGGGGAGAGGAGAGAGAAAGATCATAGGGTGGCTGCCAGTGACCACTAGTTTAACAGCAGGAAAGAGTAAAGCTTCCTACAAGAGAAGGACCCTTCCCAGAAGTCTCCCCCACTCCTCTTCCTTCTCTCAAAGGCCAGAATTGGGTCACACACCTATTACTGAACCATGGTATTTAGCTTCAGACCATTTGGTCCTCACTTCATGTTGAAGGTGAGGCGATGCTTCCTCTGAAGCAAGGGGACTATGCTGAGGAGGGGTGGCTCTCTGAATACATGCAGGTTCTGTAAGAAAGGGAGGGAGTAGGAACTGGGGACCTAGAGGTGGGGGGAAGGGGGTTGCGAGAGCAATCACCACACACCATCACAAGATTTATGATGAAAGTCTAAGTTTTAAAAAGTGCCTGCCTATACACAGACAGTCCCCAACTTAACGATTGTTTGACTTACGATTTTTCAACTTTACAATGGTGTAAAATGATATGTATTCAGTAGAAACCATATTTCATATTTCGAATACCGATCTTTTCCTGGACTAGCAATATACCATAGGATACTCTCTTGTGATGCCAGTCAGCTACGTGATCATGAGAGTAAACAACTGCTACACTTTTTTAAAAAGATTTTATTTATTCGTTTGACACAGAGAGAGAGAGCACAAGCAGGGGGAGCGGCAGACAGAGGGAGAGGGAGAAGCAGGCTCCCCACTGAGCAGAGAGCCCCACGTAGGTCTCAATCCCAGGACCCTGGGATCATGACCAGAGCAGAAGGCAGACGCTTAACTGACTGAGCCACCCAGGCGCCCAATTGCTACACTTGTAACCAATCTGTACCCAGACAACCATTCTGTTTTTCACTTTCAGTATTCAATAAATGACATGCGATATTCAACACTTCATTATAAAATGCACTTGTGTTAGATGATTTTGCCCAACTATATGCTAATGTAGGTGTTCTGAACATGTTTAAGATAGGCTAGACGAAGCTGTGATATTTGGTAGGTAGATTAGGTGTATTACACGCATTTTCAACTTGTGGTATTTTCAATTTACGACAGGTTTATTAAGATGTAATACCACCGTAAGTTGAGGAAGATCTGTAAGACCACCTAAGTAGTGATTCTGATTCAGAAGGTCTGTTGTGGGGCCTGGACATTTGTACTGTCTTAAAAGCTGCATGGGTGAGTCTGATGCCCAGCTGGCATTGCATACCAGTGCTGTAAGCTGAGCACCATCATCCCATCAGTGTACAAATAAGAATTCAGCACAGTCCCTACCCTGGAAAACCTACACTAAGTGTCCTTTAAGAGATTTTGGCATATGTGCCAGAGAAGCTCCCTCTGAGCTAATAAGTTGGGAAAGGTTCTTGAGAGAGAGTGGGACCTCCAAAGATGAGTAAGACTTAAATAGAGAACCCAGGGAAGCAATGTAGCCAGAAGGGCACAGCATGAGCTGGGGTGGAAAAAAATGGAACACTTGTCAACTCATGTGTCATGTTTGTCACAGGACAGGCTGATCTCTGTTTTGTTACCTCACTGGTACTTGAGAGAGGGAAGTTTTCTCATCTTCAGTTTTCTCATCTTGAACCAATAATTGGAGAAACTGAGGTTTGTTTCCAGAACTTGGTGAATCAGTGCTATCTGATATTCCTGATACTTTGCTGGAACTATTTGCCAAGCTTCCTCTTTGAGCACAAAGGGGATTTTAAGAGGCAATGATTGGGGCTTTCACATAGCTGTTTTAAAAATCAAAATCACTAGGTGGAAAAACCCTATGAGATCACCTCTCTGCTCTACCTGACCTCTGTGGTGGAGACACAGTGATCTTCTTAGAGACAGAGGTATTTCAATTCCTCCTCAAAGCAAACTAAGATAAATCCAAACAAATCCAGCCAGGCTGCAAAAGTGATTGGAAGGAAACTTAGAAGTAAGCTAGAGAATATGGGGGAAATTTATAAATTGGCTGGCAACTGGATTACATTTAAAGATTCAATTAATGACAGATTGAGAATAGAGTTTCTTTAGTGAGTTTGTTAACTCCCAGGCAAGAGGCTTGGTGGTTTGCTGATAGCACAGAAGGTGAGTCATGCGGCACTGGCTGGCTCAGCCAGGCTGGGACAAATGTCACCCACTCACTTTGATGGATGCACCCCATGCACAGAAATATGTGAACAGATATTGATTTTTTTAAAACTCTACCATTACTCACTGTTCTTGACAACTTATTTTCCTTCTTTGGTATACCTTTGTTGTTGATACTTCTGCTGCATCTAAATTGCTTTTTAGTGAACTTTAAAGGGGTCTCTCTCATTCTAACAGAGTTTCTGAGAGGTAGAGAGTTGGCAACAGACTTGCTATATATGGCTTGGGCTGGACATTCTGGAGGAATATTGCCTCTCTCGGGTTTCAAGAGCCCTCCCTATGTTATCTATTAAGTGGGTTCAGGGCAAGAATACTGGGTAAGTCAAGAGGTATTTACAGAAAATACTAATGTGGTAATTAGTTTCAGAAACAAGAACAACAAAATATGTGCGTACTTTTCAAGGAGGGGTCATATTAGAAACTTTATAAGAGAATGATTTTGTCTGGAAGCTCCTAGAAGGAGAACACCAGGCCACAGAGAAGAGGACTGGTATAAACCAGTGAGAGCAGAGGTAAGTGCTGGCTCACCTGGTTTCTAGCCCTGTACCCAGCCAGCTTTGGCAGAAGGAAGATGGAACAGAAGCAAGAGCAGCTGATTATCAGAGTGATGCAGTACCAGAGGCCTCCCTACAAAGTTAAAGATGACTCACACCTGTTCAGCTGTGAGAGTCAAACCTTTCTGTGGGTTCCATCTTCCTGGTTGGAGCTGGTCTCTAAGTTCAGAGAGAATCATTTCCCATCATGGTGGATCTGAAATCAATAATGCTGATGAGCTGAAAATGATTGCAAATGAAAGATATTTTGGAGAAATTTAGGCCTTGTTTTGGCAAATGAGTTGCTTAAATCCATTTGTGAGTCTATGAAATAGGCTCATAAAAAAGCCTCCTAAATCTAGCTTAGAAGCAAAGTCCCCAAGAATATGAATGGTGAGCATGAGCACTATTGTACAATAAGTGGTATAAAAAGCAAATAAGGGTAGTCTACAGTTGAAAAGAGTACAAAAACAATTTCACTGAAAAAGACTGCTCTCCCAATTTAGGCCAGCTGGTCTACCCATGCGCTAATGATCATATAAAAAGGTGGTCACCTAAGGAGGTGAATCATTTAGCTCAAGTCATCGTTGAGCCCAGTATGCTTCAGCATCTTCAAGTCTTTTACCTAAGCATGTGTACAAAGTCCCTCTCCTTGGGCTTTTGCCTCAAGTTCTTTTCTGCTTTTTTTCACGTGGATATTTTTATCTTGGGAAAGTTTATCATGGCAAAGAAGACCTTAGTGGCTAAAAAATGGATAGGCTCCATTTAGATAATCAATTCAAACTCTGTTTTACTCAGGCATTCACTCATTCAACAAACATCAAGTATCTACTATATGCCATGTTCTGGAGATCTACAGATGAATAAGACCTGATCCTATAGGAAAATCAATGGTGAGAGTATAGTGGAACACTAGCTATAACAGAGGTAAATAAGCACAGGATGCCATGACATCAAAAAGGAAGAGCATGGATAGGGTGCCTGGGTGGCTCAGTCGGTTGGTTAAGCATCCAACTCTTGGTTTGGGCTTGGGTCATGATTTCAGGGTCATGAGATTGAGCCTGCATCATGATCTATGCTCAGCGTGGAGTCTGCTTAAGATTCTCTCCCTTTTCCTCTGCCCCTCCCCCACTTGCTCATGCTCTCTCTCTTTCTCTCTCTCAAATAAATAAATAAATAACATTTTTTAAAAATTGGAGGAGCATGGGAACATCCAATTCTGCTGGGAAAAGGAGTAAGGGAAGGTTTACAAGAGGAGGTGATTTTTGAGGTGGGGGTTGAAGGATGAGTACAGATTAGCCAGAGAAATGAGAGAAGAAAAACCTCCCCCACACCACACACAAAAGATCAACATTGGCAAAGCTACAGAGGTGTGATACCATGGCTCATTTAGAGAACTGCAAATGATTTGATATGACTAAGGCTGGAGATTTCAGCAGGACCCAGATCTTAAAGGACCTTGTAGGTCATGCTGAGGTGAAGAAAGTTTGTTTCCAAAGGGATGGAAAACCACTGGAAGATTTTATATTGGAAAGTGACATGATAAGAATTGGGACTTAAAATAACAATTCTGGCAGCTAAAAGAAGAAAGAACAGATGACACCTTAGGAGGCTTCCAGGCCATAAATGATAAAGGATTGAACTAAGACAGCAGCTGTGAAGGGGGAAAGAGGTTTGAGCTATGTAATGGTGTAATAGCCAGAATCTATGTCTCATTGAGGTAAAGAAAAGAAAGGATGAGTCTAGCAGGACTCCAGTCTTCTCTTTTATGGGAGAATGTGGCAGGTGGTATCACTTCTTGAAAAAGGAAATATAAGGAAAGGAGTAACTTTGGAGAAAAGATAAATTCCATTTTAGACATGTGTATGATCTATGGGTCACCCAGGTAATGATCAGTTGATATTTATTTATTTATTTATTTTTAAAGATTTATTAAAAAAAAAAAGATTTATTCATTTATCTTAGAGAAAGAGAGAGCGAGCACATGAGTGGGGGGAGGGGCAGAGGGAGAGACTCCCCAAGCAGACTCCCCACTGAGTGCACAGCCCAGCGCTGGGCTTGATTCCACAACCCATGAGATCATGACCTGAGCCAAAACCAAGAGCTGGACACTCAACCGACTGAGCAACCCAGGTGCCCCATGATCAGTTGATATTTAAAATCATGTTTTCTTGGGACGCCTGGGTGGCTCAGTTGGTTAAGCGTCTGCCTTTGGCTCAGGTCACGATCCCAAGGTCCTGGGGTCGAAGCCCTGCATCAGGCTTCCTGCTCAGCAGGGAGTCTGCTTCTCCCTCTCCTCCCCACTTGTGCTCTCTCTTGCCATCTCTGTCTCTCTTTCTCAAATAAATAAATAAAATCTTTAAAAAAAAAACCGTTTTCTCGGTAAAAAAGTGTATTTTAGAGAATGATGTTTGTATTGGCTGTGAGTAGAGGAACTACAACTGTCTTGTGTATTATTTATTCCACTGCTCAAAACTGCCTGGCACACAGTAGGTGCTCCATAAATATTTTTAAGGACCTTTCATTCTTAGTAGTTTGAGTATAATATGTCTTGGTTTGGTTTGGTTTATTTATTTTATTTTTATTTTAATTCAATTTTATTTTTAATTTACTTATTCTGCCTGGGGTTTACTAAGCATCTTGAATCTGTAATTTCAAGTCTTTTTGCCAAATTTAGAAAAATTTTAGCCACTATTTGCTAAGAAGAAAAATTCTGAACTAGTTTCTCTCTCATCTTCTTTGGGGCTTATAGTTACACCTATGTTAGAATTTTTGATGTTGACTCAAGTCATTGAGGTGCTCTTAATTTTTCTTCAACTGTTTTCTTGCCTTCAGTTTTGATCATTTCTATTGATCTACCTTCAGGCTCACTGACTCTTCCATGCAATATCTCCAATCATCTGGTAAGCTTATTAAGTGAATTTTTAATTCCAGATATTAAATTTTTCACTTCTAGAATTTCTGTTTATTTCCTTTTTTACAGTTTCTTTCCCTCTGCTGCAGTTTCTTGTTTATTCATTATAAGCATATTTTTGTTTGTGTCATTGAACAGGTACAATAGCTAGTTTAAAATAATTGTGTCCTAATTCTGATTTCTACATCATCTTAGGATCAATTTCCATCTATTGTCTTTTCTCTTGATTATGGGTCACATTTTTCTGCTTTTTTGATTGTGCTTGCACATTGTAAATGGTACATTGTAGAGACCATAGTTTTTGTTATGTTAAGCTTTGAATCTTTTTTTTACTGAAGAGTTAACTTGGTTACTAAATTGTTCTCCTTTGTAGTGGGCAAGGGTTGAAATTTCCATTCAGTTCTTTTATCATTAATTGGGCTGATTGAAGTCTGCCCTACATGTGTGTAGTTCAGAGATCAGCCAGAGATTGGGAAAACTTAATGCAGAGATTCTGGAAACTCTCCTCTGCAATTCTCTCCTTTCTGGGATACCCCACCAGCACTACCATTTTCCAATTGCGATAACCTCAAACTCTGTCTGCTAATTCCTCAAATAAATTCATCAAAACTGTGGGTTTCTTTTTTTAAGATCTTATTTATTTATTTAACAGAGAGAGACACAGTGAAAGAGGGAACATAAGCAGGGGCAGTGGGAGAGGGAGAAGCAGACTTCCTGCAGAACAGGGAGCCTGATGTGATGTGGGGCTCGATCCCAGGACCCTGGGATCATGACCTGAGCCAAGATGCTTAACAACCGAGCCACCCAGGCACCCCAAAACTGTGGGTTTCTATCCACATTCTAAATGCCCCAGCATGACACTGACTGGTGATTGCCCTTAGGCAGAAAGCCATTAAAAAAAACAAACAGGAAACTCATCTAGTGCCATTCTCTTCTTCTAAGTGTCAGCTCTTCTCTAGTTTCTAGTTTGGTTTCTCTTTAATACCTTTAGGTAATTTTTTTCCTCTAGAGTTTAAAATTATTATTTGCAAAAGGGTTAATCCAATATAAACTACTCTGCTATTAACAGACATGGAATTCCAAGTACACAATAAGTATTTCTTGAATAAATTCAAGTACCTATTGTATATCTCTATGTTGATCTCTAACAGACACTATCACTTGACCTTATCCAAATTAAACTACTCTTGATTCTCTCTTCACCTCTAGCAAACCTGTTCCTCCCCAAATCTACTTTACTGTATATATATAATACATATAAATATCATATGTATATATGAAAAGACTATCATCCAAAAAGTAACCAAGGCCCTCTAAGTCTTAAAGACAGAGAGCTACTCTGCAGTCCTCACCTCAATCTTTGCAATATTTGACACCTTCCTTATGGAAACTCCTCTTGTGGCTTCCATGACATTATTCTCTTCTGGATTTCTTCCCTTTGGCTTGTGGGACCTTGGTCTATTTTATAGGCTCTTGTTCTAATGGAGCTTATATTCTAGAGGAGATCTATCTATCTATATCTATCTATCTATCTATCTATCTATCTATCTATCTATCTATCTATCTACCTATCTATCTATCATCATCTCTCTATCTATCTTCTTGCTGGCATTTGCACCTAAATGTATAATAGGCCTTTCAAACTCAACATGTCCCAAACTGGAACACTCTCACTCCAGAGTCTTTGCATTTGCACTTCCACCAAATATCCACATGGTTCACAATTCTTACTCCCTTCAGGTCAACTGCAAAGTCAATTTTTAAATGAGGCTTTCCTGACCATTTGCTATACAATGAATACAACCTGCCCCTTCCTTTTGCACTATGTATCCCCTTCCTTTCCTTAATCTTTCTCCGTGGAACTTATTACATGTAAATATTATAGATCTATTTTTTAAACTGTTGTTAACAATCTCCCCTCACTGGAGTGTAAGCTCCACGAGGGTAGGGCCTTATCACTGCTAAATCCCTAGCACTGAGAAAAGAGCCTAGCATGGAGTGGGTGTTCAATAAATATTTGTTAAGTAAATGTTGAAGCTACTTAACGAGAAGAGAGTGAGAAGCATGGGTGAGGAAGGAACACTAGTATTCACAAGCTGGGTGATAGAACAAGGGCCTATAAAACAGACTAGCAGGCAAGGGAAGGAAACTCAAGAGAGAATAAGGTCCCAGAAGCCAAAAGAGGAATTTCTAAGTAAGGTGCCAAATATTGTGAAGATCAAATGAGGCAAGAACTACAGAGTGGCTCTCTGTCTTTGAGAGTTAGAGGGCGCTGATGACTTTATGGATGACAGCTACTTCAG